GGTCTCCAAGGCTGTCAGTCTTAACAGAAGCAAAGCCTAAACCAAACCCACTGCCTTGAGTCAATTCTGAATCAGGGCACCCCTAGAGGACAGAGTGGAACTGCCCACAGGGTCTCCAAGGCTGTCAGTCTTCACAGAAGCAAAGCCCAAACCACACCCACTGCTGTGGAGTCCATTCTGACATCGACAGCACCCCTAGAGGACAGAGCAGAACTGTCTCACAGGGTCTCTAATGCTGAAATCTTCACGAGCTCTGACTGCCACATATTTCTGCCAGAAAGTGGCTGATGCCTTCAAACTGGGGCTCTTGGTTAGCGGCCGAGTGCTTTACCACTGCACCAGCAGGGCTTCTTCCCATTTTTGTTGTTATGTGACTCATAGCAACACCACCTTGGGTTTCTGAGGCACAATCTCTACGGAAGTAGATTGCCTGACCTTCCTTCTGAGGAGTGGCTGATAGGTTTGAACCGCCAGCCTTCTGGTTAGCAGTCAAGTAAGTGCCTTAGGCACTACACGTAAGCTGTCTTAAATCCTTATGGGAACAGTGTAGTGTATTAACACACACCCTTCGTTGGGGGCTTGGTGGACTTTCATGTCATTGTGTTCTCATTGCATATCTGATAATTCTGCTCTTAAATAGAAAGTTACTGCCCTGTGTAGTGTCCGTGGCAGTGTTTTGCTCAATTCTAGAACACAGTGGTCCCCAGCTTATGATGATCTGTTCTGAGGACTCTTGTCAGTTCTTGTGTAGCTCGGGTACCTCGTTCCTTTTTTCCTAAGTCTTCGTTGTTATTGCTTTTTACTGTCAGAGTCTTTATAAATCCGATCTTCATTTGTCTTTGGGAGCTGGCATTAGAATGAAACATCAGAAGATTACCTGCTGCAATGTTGTACAGAGCCCAGTTACTAACGATAAGATGTACCGGGGGAAAAAAGGGACCGTCATAAGAGTAGTTCATTGTAAGTGAAATAACATCCTAAGTCGGAGACTGCCTCTGTTCCCTCTTAATCTTAGTTCTGCTGGTGTTCGTGCTGCTGAAATACTTTACGTTGGGCATTTATCAGGGCTTCTGAGGGCACTGCCTATCTTCAGGCTCCAGCCATGCCACATGGGATCACTTCCCTCCAGTCACACGCCTCTTTTGTTCCCTTCTTTGTGAGTGTTGTCATCATGCACCTCATGATTTTAGCCAAAAATCTGAGGATTGTCTTACTCTAACCCTTCTTCTCGTCCCCTGTATGGAATTGGTTCCCTGGGATTGGAGATTTTTTTCCCTCAGAAATCTCTCAGGTATGTGTCCCTGTCTGCCCCCTCCCCCATCGAGCCTCGCTGCCTGGTGACGAGCCTTCCTCATCTTGTGTGTCTGTTCCACAGGTGCATAACTTGGAGGTTTTCCACTTGTGTGCTGTGGGCATTCCTTGGAGCAGGTGCTGAGTGTCCCCTACCATGTCAGTGATGGTAGCCCGTTTTAGTCTTTGTATCGTGGTTTCTGATGCATTTTTAAAATGCAGTGTAGTATGTGCTGACCTCCCAGCAGTTCTGGGGTGTGGCGTTTTATCGCCCTCTGGGTTTTCAGGTGCTGTTCCCCCTTTATAAGTACCCTTCCTTCTTGCTGAAGCTGCTCAGTGGCTTAATGGTTAGGCACTTGGCTGC